CCTTACTTTCCGAGTATTAATCCTGTTCCCTCTTGATAAAGTAGGCAGATAAGATTTAAAGAACTGGCTGACTTAAGGTTGCTATTAACATTTTTCCCACGAGAGGTTGTCCTGCTGAAGGAACACACTGCCTTGTCGTGCTCCCTTTTGGAGTGACATACCTTTCCCATGGCTCTACAAACAACAAAGCAGTAATAGCAGTATACTTCTGAACTTGGGGAAGGCATCAGACACGCTGTTGGTTCTCTTCATACTCAGTGGGGTATTAGTCTCATTTTCTTTTGTCTGTCCTAGACACTGGTTCCAATACTGCAGAATGAACAGAACTGGGGGTCGTCTGCAATGTTTCCTGTTAATATGCAGCACTTTCTGGAGAGAAGCCTGGAAAGGGACTGCTCATCCTGAATCCTTGTGGTGCAGATGTGAGTTAATCCATACTAGAGAGCGGCACAGAATGGCAGCGGAAGAAATACCTGTAGCATTTCTTCAGTTCACTTTATAGGGCATGAATACAACATTACCTTTTTTTTTTTTTTTTTTTTTTTTAAATTACAACAGATACTGTTGCCTTTTTTGTTCAAAATAATTTCTGTAATAAACTTTTATTTAAAAACTTTGGAAAGAGTGATCATTGGAAAACGTTGTTTGAAAGCAATCATTGATATAATACATTTTCCCCGAATTGTTTAAGTTCTGAGGTTAGCTTGGTAGCACACGTTCTCTTTGGCTCTAACCCTGTTTCTGGGATGGTGTTTGCCCAGGTCCTGGATCTGCTCCCTCTGTGGAGGTTGTTTCGGTTCACTGAAGGAGGGGGGAGCAAAGGGAAGTTAATGGAATCTGGTGGCAGTGTTCTTTCTGCTGTTTGTTGCTTTTCTCTCCGTAACTTTCTTGCCACTTGCTGTTTTGTTGTTTGAATTCCAGCTGATCCTGCCGAGTTCATATGGTTAATGTCCTTTGTGGTCCTGGAGGATTTGTTGACTTACACCTGAACGTGTGCACTGCACTTTGTTACTCTGAGCTATTGTAATGCCCAGCAGAGCACAAATCATCTCACTTGCTACAGAACCAGCATATTTGCTGCTGCCTGTTTGGTTCTTCTCTGTCTGTGTGTTATGGACTGATTCGTTTATTTTGTTGTTGGTTTCCTTCAAGAAAGTTGCTTCCACTTCTCAGCAGCAGCAAGAAAGTAAAAGATACCTTTAGACCCTGATGTTGAGCTGGAATGGATGTTTCTATTTGGAAAGTAAATGAACTAAAGGGAAGGGAAGAAAAGGGAAGGATAAGGAGGGGCTGTGGGTGACCTCCTGTTCAAACACGGTTTCCAAGAACAAGGATTTTGTCCATTTCACTGGTGTGCGGACCAGGATGTTCCCTGATGTAAGCTGTTTGCTCAGGCAGGGGTGTTAATACCTGACTTCAAATGTTATCACAGTGTCGAGTGAGAGCGGGAAGAATTTATGATGAATTTCCAGGAGACGAGTTTGATCAGGATCATTATGTGCTTTTGCACAATGGCTTGGCACAGTGAGACAGCCTGAAGTCACGATCTAGAGCACAGATGCTGCATTTAAGGATCTCAGCTGCTTGGGAGGGAGGATTTCAGTTCAAGTACTGCAGACCTGGGTTTGATTTTCTGAAGGCTAAAGCTTCAGGGTAGGGAGAAAAGTAGGAGAAGTGGAAAATAGTCCACTGAGAGTCTCGTTGGTGTTTTATGGTCACTCTTACGGCAAGAAAAAACACACCCCAACACTGCTCCCTCTATCAGTTTTGCTCATTGACTGCAAATGCTTTTCTGGTATTTTGTTCATATTATTTGTATTTGCTTCTCGTTTTTTCAGAATTTATCACCTGTTTTCCTCTGAATTCATTTTAATTGACCCACCTTTTTATTGTAGGGCATCTCAGAGATAATCATGTAGAATATGAAAGAAATGCAAGGCAAGAAGGAAACAGACCCTCCTAACTAGAGGTAAAAAGAGCTGTTTGTGTGGATATGTATGAAGCCAGATGGAGCTCACGTTGAGTTGTTCTTGTAAAAGTAAAGTGAAAACCACTTGGAAATAAAACATAAATTAAAGCCGGGTTTAAACCAGAAAAACAAGTCTGGTATTAGATAGCAGAATTACAGTTTCATCATCCTCCCATGCATATCTTGAAAGGTAAATTCTTGTTTAGTTTTTTTAAAGTTTAGGTTGTTGGTTAACAGTTGTAGACAGAGGCATCAGATTTTCACTAGACAATATTTCTGATAGGACTGTATTTCCCATTTGGACAGCCCATTATTTCACTGATGAAGTTCATAAGGGGTTTAAGCTGTTTTTGGACATGACTCTAATGTGATGTGCTGGTGCTACCTTGGGCTAGAGCTGGTCCTACTCTCTTGCAGGTTTATTCTTTTTTCAGTTCTGCAACCAACCATGGCAAGGTACGTGATTTCTCCCTGCTCTGTTGCACTTTCTGAGATGCCAGATAATCTTATTTCTAAGATACTTTGAGATCTCTGGAATGCAAAGTTCTCTATTAGAGATGAGTGGTACTTTTTATTGCTGTCTGTAGTGTTAAGGAGACAAATATTTTTTCTGTGTCACTGCTTTGACTTGTGACTGCACTCATGCATCTGACATTTCTAATGTCTTTGGAAGAGGAAATGCTGAGAACATTCCTTTGTTACAATCTTTTTGTCTTAGTTCACCTTTAGGACTTGGGAGTTGGCTTGTTCTTTCAGAAGAAATTAAATCCCTACTAAAAGGAGGTGAGCTTAAAACTAAATTTGCATAAGATGGCCTTTGTTTTTGCAACCAAATCATCTGAGATGAGTTGGGAGTAATAACACCCTCAAACCCAGGAAATTTTCTTTGGATCGAGAAAATTGGATTTGACCATAGATTTGAAGTGGCACTTCCCCCCCTCCCCAAGATCTAAATACTTGTGTTTCTCCATCTGTAACATTTTTGTGCCAGGAAGTGTCTGTCAGTAGTATATGAAACACTGTTATTTATACAAGCAATACTTCCTGTTTCTGAGTGAAGAAGTTAAACATACTTACAGAGTGAAGGGGATAAAAATGACTTAACAAATCTGTAAGTAACTTGTAAGTATATCTCTTACATACATTTGCAAAATAATAGAAGGGTCCCTCATTCAATAATCTTTGACTATTTCAGGCTGGGATTCCTCCCCCCTTCCCCCTTAGACACCTCTGTAGAAGGTTTTTTGAGAAATACATTGGTTAGATCTTCTTACAGACATCCATTTCATGGATGGGTCTGGTTTTGATGCAATTCCTTAGAACTCTTAGGTATGGGGATTTTTTTTTTGTCTCCATGGATGTGCACCTCTTTCCTCCATTTTCCAAGGGAAAAAGGCAACACTTTATGCTAGAGTTAGAAACACAGTGACCCTGCTCTGCCTGATTTAGTCCAGAAACTTGAGCATATCCCAGTCCCCCAAGGAACCCATTGGCAGTAGTTTACCATTTTGAGCTAATATGTGTTAATTTAAAACAAGTGAAAGAGCTCCAACAAGCAGAATCAGATTAGGCAGCAGGGGTTAGATGCAGTCTGCTGTGCTGGGAGACTTGAGTTCTTACCCTGAGTAGGCAAAGAGGTTCGTTCTAAAAGACTAGACATGGAGAGAGGTTGAACTTGCTGCTGAAGCCATTTCTGAATTTTCTGTGTCACTGTCAGGTTAGCACAAAGCTGTAATCTCTGTAGCAAATGTCTGCTTACATAAGTTGGAAAGAGTTTCCCCCCCGGGACCAGCAATCCTATTACTGTATTTGCTGTCTCTGAATAACCAGGTGCCCAATGATACCTCACGTATTTTTGTTTGAGAACTTTCCTTATCGTACTTGGAGTTCTTGCCAATAATGTTTGCTGTGAAGTCATCATGGCATTTTAAAGATCACTACTTTACAACCCAGTTCACTTTAACATGTCTAACAAAATTGCAATGACACACCTTTTCAAGTCAGTTATTTTGTCTTCTCATCCTATTTAAATCAATGTTTTGAAGATCTGTGTGATTGAAGTCCTAATTTATCTAAATGTAGCCTCGTGCTATGGAATTGCTTCAGATATTCTTTGTATAATGCTAATTCTCGATTGTAGACCTGAAATTCATAAAGGTGAGTATGTTTACTGACAGAAAAATTACTTGACCAATTTTTTGGTAGTATAAAGACAATGGAATTAATCCCTCACCATTACAGGTAGTGGGAAGCTGTTGGATCCATGGAAAAGTGGCAAGCTTGAGTATAAGAAGGTGATAAAAATACAGGTGGGTGAAATACAGAAGTTCACAAATCTTTCAGCTTCTAGAAACTTAAGAAAACGATGTGTTGGATGATTGGTTTGTTCATGTTGAGCGCATGAGCATCCTCTGCCCGTGTTACAGCCGGAAAAGGGGGTGCTGAAGGGTTAACTGTTTTAATGGCTCTGCCCGGGAGCACAACCGTTCTCAGGGAACCCCAGGACACAGAATACCGGAACGCCATCTGTTTCAGTACCTATTTGACTTTATTGAAGGCTGGTGGTGTTTTTAACGGCTCTTGGCAGGGTCACGGTTTGGAGTGGGGCACGAGCAGCAGCCCGGGTGCCAGGGGCGGGCGGGAGCTGCAGGTGCTTTTTAATTAATCGCCCTTTCAGCTCCGCTCCTGGCAGGACGTGCAGGGACCCGGTGCGTGCCCCGGCCCTGCCCGTGTCCGAGCAGGAGCGCTGGGGTCACTTTAGCGAGCAGGGCCCGGGAAGGGAAGGAAAAACGCGTTCCCCTTTCCTCCAGGCGGTCTGTGCGAGGAGGAAGGGGGCAGAGCGGTTTCCCCCCCCTCCCCTCAGCCGAGCCCCGGCCGGCCGGGCCGTCGCGGCCGCGCTGCCCCTCAGGCCCGCCGAGCTGCCCGGCAGCGATCGGGGGATCCCCCCGCTGTCCGTGCACGGCAGGGATCGGGGGGGTCAGGGCGATCCCCTGCCGCTGTCCCCGCGGCGAGGCTCGCCCAGGAGGGCGGCGGTGCCGGCGGGTCCCCTCAGAGCCCGCGGCCGTAGAGGGCCCTGTGGCGCAGGTGCTCCTCGAGGCACAGGATGGCCGCATCGTCCACCTCGGGGTCGAACTTGTTGGCCAAGAGATGGTGCTGCTGCAGCATCCAGGACACGTCGCCCGCCCCGTAGATGCAGACGGAGCGCTGGTGGCGGCCGGTGCAGGGCGGGTACGGCGCGCCCTTGCTGGGGTCGCCCTCCAGGTACTCCCACTTGACCAGGCGGGGAAGGGCGTTCATGTCCGACAGCTGGAACTTGTCGTTGTGGGGCACAGCCCCCGGCACGCCCGGCATGCGGGTCAGGGTGGCCCACACGTGCTCGTCGGGGCTGTAGGTGTCCTTGGCCCACTCGAGGAACTTCTGTGCCGTGGGGTCCTCGAAGATGTGCTGCACGAAGCCCCGCGTGACCACGATGTACGCGTTGCCCGTGAACATGGGGGAGTTGAGGGGCGGCGGCAGCTTCTCTATGTTGGTCCGGGAGATGGCCTTGCCCACCTCGTGGTGGAACTGCCAGCGCGCCCGCTTGGCCGCCGAGGGCTTCTCCGACTCCAGGCTGTTCCGGCCCTGCAGCACCTTCAGGGCGCGCACGATCTCGGCGTTGGTCTTGATGGGGAAGTCGGTGCCGCAGGTGTTGAGCAGGTACCGCCAGGGCACGGGGCTCCGCAGCAGGTCCCGCATGCAGTTGAGGTCGGCCTGCAGCCGGGACCAGGAGGCGTACACCACGTTTTCCAGGCGGCTGGCCACGAAGACGTTGGGGAAGCAGCCTGCGATGGCCCGCACGGCCTCCTGGAAGGCGGCCGGGGACTTGCTGTCCACGTGCACGCAGTAGACGTTCTGGGGGGCGTAGAGGGAGCGCAGGAGCCGCTCGAACATCTCGATTTTGTTGTGGATGACCATGGAGTAGGCGATGGGGAACTCCTCCTCCTCCTGGCTCAGCGGGAACTCGATGAAGCGCCGGGTCTCCCTGAAGGCGCCGCAGTCCCTCGTCATGTTCAGGTAGTGGCCGGGCGTCAGCGGAGCCCTCCTGTTCGCCACCTCCAGGCTGCGGAGCTGCGCCTCCTCGATGGCCCTGCGGTCTCCGCGGACGACGCCCGAGCAGTTGATGCCGCGGCCGGGGGGCAGCTCCAGGGCGCGGTGCGGGCGCTGGCGGCAGCGGGGCCGCTCGGCGGGGCAGGGCCGGCCGGCCTCTCGCAGGGCCAGGGCGGCGGCGAGCAGGGCCAGCGGGGCCAGGAGCAGCGTCCAGCGCCGCCGGGACCCCAGTCCCGCCCGCTCCCACAGCCGCATGGCCCCGGGGCCGGCCCCTCGGGGGGCTCCGCCGACCCGCACGGACAGCCCCGGGACCGGCTGCTCCCCGGGAGCTGCTGCCGCACTGACAGGGAGATCTCGGCGTGACCGCAGGTGAGTAACAGGTGAATAAAGGGAAGTCTCCTCCCCCTCTGTGGCGTGGCTCGGTTTGGTTTTGCCAGCACTGGAGGTGGTTGTATATCTTCTGTGTCTGTTTAAAAGATAATATTTCATCTTACCCCTGTCCGGCACGTAACACGAGGAAAATTCCTCTAGAATTCAACCCCGGGTAATGCACGTTTTCAAAAGACTTTACGAGATCGGTTTGGGGTCTAACCTGCTTTTCCAGTGCTGAGATCATTCCAGCTCACAGGTCAAGGGAGCGATCGGGATAGTGCTGTGGCCTAGAAGCCCAGCTGCAACAGGCTTTCTGCTGGCCTGCAGCAATTTGAGCTTTAGTGAAGGATTATTGCACGAGATAACTGGGCAAGGTGGAATCTCTGCTTCTGCAGTGGAAGCAGAGGTGAAGACAAAGGCCATTTGCCACGAAGTGTCTGCTCAGATGAGGGGGTGAGAGAATACTGGGGAAGGGTGTCAGGAGCTCATGCAGGTACCTAAGTGCACATCCTGGCTAAGGAAGTCTCACTTAAAAGAAAGAGAGGGATAACTGCATGTGACTAAAATACTCCTTGCACTGTCATGAGCAAAATAATGTCCCCTCAGCCCCCTCACTTTGTGGTTTGAACCAAACACGTATGTGGTACCATGCTTGTAAAAAGGACCAGTTTCAATGATGAGTAAAAATTTCTAAGATGAGTTTTTTAAGATACAAACAAAGGCATTTTTATTTTTCTTTCTTCACATGTATCAAGAAGCCAAAGTCACAGAACCTGCAGCAGGACTGAGGACAGTTGTCAGTGTAGTTCTGCAAGGGTTCTAGAAAACAGCAGCAATCACTTCCCTGACTTCAAAACTGTTGGTTAAATTAGCAGCTTTAACCACCCCAGTAAATAATTGTCTTAGATATCTGTCTAAAGTCCAGAAACTTTATTGGGCATTATGAAAAGCAACGACAGGATACATACAGTAAGTATCTCCTGTGGGCACAGTGTGAGTGTGCCTGGGAGATACCTGGGGCAAAGGGCTTGGGGAGGGTAAACAAGCTGCTGGATGGGCTGGCTGCTTTCTCAGGGCAAGGAAGACATTCACCTCACTTATGTGTGTACTTTGCACCTGAATATTGTCTCTAAGCTATGGTCAACATACATTAGAGAGCTCATTCACCAGAACGAGAGTCAACGATTGCAAAGTCTGACTTGAGACTTGAAAACTGTGTTTTCAGTGTTCTCAGCTGTACTTTTGAAGCCAGCAGTGTATTCGGTTTATGAACAGGGCCAAAAGCTAAATAAAAAAATTAACCCCACACCCCAAATCAGTGTGTGAAATGACAGCAAATTGCTGCTCCAGTTCATTTTAGTGTGGCCAGCGGCTGAAATCACATGCAGGGACAGCTTGTAGGAGCTATCTGTGAGAAGCTCCATAATTTTTTCTTGTGCTGTGCTTTTTGCAGAAATGTACAACGGGCTGCAGAAGGTGGTTTTCTATTTGAAACGGGGAAGAAGTGGCACAGAGAGGAGTTGAAGAGCTTGGCAGACTGATGGCCATGGCTTAAAGATCACTGCGCTGTCGAAAGGCACACTTTTTTCAGAATTCCCCTGTCCATCTCAAAGTGTGAAGAGTTTTCATCAGTGTGAAGATTTTCAATTAAAATAATTTTGGTAAGTCCAGGTGCCACATGTCCCCTGTGCCCTTCTGTACCTGCTTCCATTTCAGTAAGACCTATCAAGTCAGAGGTTCCTGCTCTTTTAGCTTTCCTGTTAAGGGGAAAAAAGAATCTTCACGAGTTGACCTGTTACCTACTTGCCTAATTGCATAAATGTAGGTTGTGGTTCAGATAGGTGCACTGGAGAGTGGAGAAGAAATGTGTATTCTGCTTGCTTCTCCAAGGGGAAAAAACAAACTATGGGATTGTTTGCTGGTGGTGTCAGACCTGGGGAAGCACCTGGTAGAAATTTAGACTGTGATGGCAGGGTGAGAGCTCACCAGGCTCACCTGTCCACAGTGAGTTGTTAAAAGGAATAGGGTTTTCCCAGGGAAAGCAACATTGGTCAAGAGGGACAACCAAAACTCACAGGGAGCAAGCAGCCTGAAGTTGTGATTCCTAAAATCTGTAAGGAAAAGTTTATATATATATATATATATATAGCCTGCTGCTTTAGCATGACTTTTAAGAAATATATGGAAGTAGTAAGTTTTGTAAATTTAGTCAAATAGACATCTGAGACCAGGCTTGTACATGCTACAAAAAAAAAAAAATAAAATCTAGTGTGTTGTACTCCATTGGCTGGGAGAGATAAAAATTTTGGTTTTAGCTTCTTGGTCACAAATGCTTTGGCTGTTAAGTGGTTTGGTGGTTGTTTTTTTTGTCTGTTTTTGTTTTTAAAGTTAAAATCTGTGTGGATTTGGAAGGACTCCACGTGTAAGCTATCAGGGCATAGCCGTGTGCATAATTCTGCTGCTTTTCTCTTTTATGTCCCCTCCGTTTTCAGCAGAGAGCCTTATTTGCTGCTGACTCAGAGCCATACTGTGCATGGCAGTGTGTTGGCTGAGGGCTCTGTAGGCATTACCAGCTCACAGCCAAGTTCTGTGTTCTCCAGGGCTCGTGTGTAACAGCAGGAACTTTATGTTAACAGCTTGTGAGTCTTGTTTGACCTCTGCGTGTGATGGATAGCTGTTTGGTTTTCATGTGTCATCCAGATAGTGGAGCCTTACACTGGAGGAAGTGTGGCATGAGGCCCAATTCCAGTCAGAAGTCAGGGCAGGTTCCTTCATGAACTGTTCCACTGTGGGTCCTGTGCACAGGCTGCATTCCTTTGGGATAAACCTGTTCCTCTGTGGGTCCTGCAGCTTCCTTTCAGGCACACCAGCTATTGCTCCTCGTTCTCCCCCCGTCACTCGCCTTGGTGTCTGCAAGTTGGCTCAGCTTTTTGTGTCTGACATGGGGCAGCTTCTGCTCTTACCACAGAGGCCCCTCTGCCTCCTTCCCAAATCACTGCCACGTTAACCCAGAGTGAGAGCCTTAGCAAATGAAACCTCTCAGACTAATGGCAGGGAGAGAGTGTGCAGAGTGAGAGATAAGAGTGTGACTTAAATAAGGAAAAGGTTGAATATGATTTTATTTTCTTGCTTTTTTCTTTCCCTTACTCCCTCTCCCACCCTCAGCTGGTTACATATGGCACAGAGGGGCTGATGGCTCTTGTCTTCTCAGTGTCCATTACTGTGTTTTACAGCTGTGAGAGCAGAGGATGACAGAACAGCCCGGGCTGGAAGGAACCTCACAAGATCCTCTGGTCCAGCCATTCATGGGAAAGGGAGCCCAGGTAAGATTATCTGGCCAATGGCATCCTGAAAACCTCCAGGGATGGGGACAACCACATCCCATCTTTGAAGATGTGAGTTGTGCAGTGTTTGTAGACACTACATGGAATGATTTGCAGACAGGATTTGAGATAATTTTAGCATGGCCAGTTCAAGCCTGCATACATAACTGACTTATTTTGCCAAGGAAAGTAAAAGGAAAGCACGTGGAGCTTTGCTCCATTCTGTTTGGAGCGCTGCTGAAAGTGAGGGATCTGGATTGTCACTGGAGCACCACCTTGTCACTAAATGATTTATGGTTTGGTAACAAGTCAGAGACATGGAGCTGAATATCCAGGTTTGCAGACAGCAGGGTAACCCAAACCCAGGCTGAATCACCTTGTTGGTTCTCTCCAGAGTTATATGGATTAGTTATGTGAGGAACTCCTGCTGCCATGAGGCCTGGAAAATTGTTTTGCAGGCCTGCACCTACAGATCCTGAGGGCTGGCTCTGATATTCCTGTCGTTTTTGGTTATGTAGTGAAGTATCATGAAACAAAATTAGTGATACTCTCACTGGCTGCTGCTTGAGCAGAATTGTTCCTAAGTGTGCTCTGTACGTGATTTGCTGTACACATCTTGTGGTAAGATAAAGTATTTGTTATGAACAATTCTGCTTTCTTCATTTGCGTTCACATAGGGAATTTTCTTATTTGTGTCAAGTAGTTAATGGATATTTTAAAAGAACTGCTTTTTTTTAATCAATACTTCATTTGAACTATGACAGAAGTGGAGAAGAAATTGCATTTCCATCTTCTTGGCAGTTCAGACTTTTTTTTTTTTTTTAAACTTGTTCTGCTGGTATTGTAATACTTATAAGCCAAATGCAATTCCATGATTTTTAGATAATTTTCAGATTTATAGTTTTAAAATTACTGGCAAACATTTGGAAAACATTACGATAGACTTCTCATATATTTTCGGAGAACATAAGTTCATTGTTCTTTCTGTATAGAGTCTTTGGCACATCTTGCTTTCCTGGGGCAGTGAGGAGTGAACACAGAAGTGTTGAGGTTTCAAAAGAAATACACCTTATGCAAATATGTATGCATTATATACGTGCACTTTGTCTGTAAAACTTTAACATCATGAACACGGTCTGGTGCAGGCTCTGCTTTTTGAAATTGAGAACCGGCTGATTATAGACTTTGGCTTTTGTTTTCTTCCCATTAATTTCAGCTGAGCTGTGTGGCTCAGGCCAGTGCTCGCTGACAGGTCGAGCTGTATTTTTTCAAGCCAAGATTGCACCCACACTGGCACAGTCTGGGTCGTTGGGATGGTTAATTAGAGATCAAGTTCATCTTTGAGGAAACTGTTGGATGACAATATTCCATTTTCTTTTCAGAGTTCTCCTTCACTGCTGGTTTGTGACAAGGTGTTTGAGAGCACAGTGTGCAGCAGCTCTGGGCCTGCCGCTGCGTGAAGGTGGTTCAGAAAGCACATGAAAAGGCAGCATCCAGTAAGTAAAACATCCAAACTCAGTAATTTTGGTAGCATGCACGCCAGGTCCTGTTTTGTCACTG